CTCAAGCTCCTCGTCGCCTACTCCATCACCATGATCCCCCCTGCCTTCATGCATTGTTCAAAGTGGCCCCCATCCATTTGTATACATAGGCTAGCTCTTCGTAAAACTTGGAGCGTCGCTCTATGTATTTGATCGGGGGCCACATTTTCTGCCCACTCTTGAACAGCCTGCCAGCATCCATCTGCGTTGCCAGGTGGACCGTTAGAGTAGATGGCCTCTTTGCACGTTCCCCAAACATAATAATTCAATGGATTATGATCTGGGGAACGTGCTGGCCATTCTACGGTACCACCACGGCCTATCCACTCAGGGTAAGACTGGAAAAACATAGAAATCAGTATACTTTTTTTTATAAATTAATAAAAAACAAACAGTAATCAATTACCTCGTCGAAATAGTCTCGGACAGGCTGCGCAAAGTGGGCTGGGGCTCCGTCGTGCATCAGGATGATGTTATTTTGATCTGGGAGGACGTCATCTAGAAGAGCTGGCAGATCATGTTGCAGAAAATCGAGGTACGCACCAGCATTGAGGTTTCGCGGTAGACGGAATGGACCCACAATTCGGTCATGAATCACACCAGCCCATACATTTACGGCATATCTATGCTGCGAACGATCTAAATTATGTTGAAAAATATTGTTAAATATTTTGTTGTGCAAGCAAATACAATATTATTCTTAAATATACCTTCTCGCACCGCAAATGGATTCTCGTGGGCCCACACATGTTCATTGTGTTGGTTGAACATTCCGATTCGCCCGAAAATGGATTCATCCGTCCATAAAATGCGATCCAAGATGTTAGGATCTTCGTCAACCGCGTCCACAAGCCAATGACAGTACCTCAATCTCTGTTGCGGATCTCCAGGTTCTAATAAATGATTAAACGTTCCATTGTCTTTAATACAAACCGAGATATAATTGATCAAAACATAAAAATAAATACTGTGTCCGTCAACATATCAAAGTTACTACAGGATCGACCTCCTGTCGTTACATGCGAATACATAACCGCTATAAATAATAAATTATGCACTTACCTAGTGACTGCACTCGCCGGAGATGATACGCATGTTGACCATCGTCCTTCATGACCCGTTGTACAGTGCTGTACGAACACGCCACACCTAACGCCGCCGAGACTTGCCGCGAAACAGATCGCAAGCTGTCTATCGGATCGGCGGCGAAAGCTGCGACGATAGGGTCATGAAGGCGATCGCGTTGGCGTTGGCGTCCTCCATCAGGATTCCTGACCACGACACTGCCCGTTTCCCTCAACCTCCTCACGGTATTTTCTATCGTCCGAGGATTGGGGTGTTGTGCTCTGAGAGGGTAAAGCTCAGCGTACCGTCGAGCAGCTGCATTCGCATTACCCTCAGCCCAGCCCAAGCACAACACCATATCGGTGTACTCCTCGTTGGAATAAGCATTTCTTCTTGCCATTTTGCAACGATGGAGTACACCGTGTCAAGAAAATTTTGCAACTAAGTCTATCAATAGTAATGAACAAATGAATAGCAAAAAAAACAAACATTACTATTCATTTGTTTGGAACTATTGATGTTTGACTGTTTGAGAGTTTGCATATTACAAAATATTCAAATCCTTGAACTATCGAAAATTCGATGCTTAAGTTGAGATAATTAAATAAATAGCGTTAAATCCATTACCCTATTGCAACTAATGCAGACCATTAATTAATCAATTTATTGATTGATTGATTGATTGTTTGTTTGAAAAATGTATTTCACGTATTGTATTGTATGTAGCTACAATGTAAGTAATGCCTATTGTAACTATTCGTATAGTTTAATATGCGTTTATTAAACATGCAAGTAATTGCACAATGTGCAATATTTTCGTAAAAGCGCATGTAGTACACATGTTTTTATTGATTTCATAAAATTCATGTTTTTTTACGATACAAAAGAATGTAATGCATTATTACATTGCAACGTATTTTTTAATAATTTTATCCATATTATTATTGATATTCATAATATCAAAATACGTCAACATAACGGCTGCTAGCAGTAACAGGTCAAGAGTTGAGCACCTCTGTCACCTGTTGAATAACATGCGCGAGTCGACCTCCCTTCTCCGTCGCGACTCGCCGTCGCGCGGCCCGTCGGCCGTAGCCAGCCGCTCATTGGCTGACATTCAATCGCGATTATCTAATTGACTAATTATCAAAAAAAAATTTTAACTGTGCCATCTTATTCCATTTTTCAAAACGAATCGAATGGTACCAAACTCTTCATATGTTTCAGAATCAACCTGTATATTCACATATATATATATATATGTATGTAGTTATACACCAAATGAATACGTGGAATTTGCCAAATGGTAATTACTCCAAGAATTATGATTATATAAAAATAAGTAAGAAGAATACAGTTTTATGATAATGAACCTTGAGTTACTTACTTGTTAAATGTTTGTTTGTTATTACACAGCCACACAAAAAAAAAAGTGGCAAAACCCACAGACCAGACCATGCAAACTTTATGTTTTTGGGGTCGCTGAGTCCGAATCCGGGGTCAGTTTTGCCCCACCACGTCACAGTCAAGGGCAAATGAAGGTCAAATTTGCAAAAATGGAGAAAATCAATTTTCTCCAGTCTATATATACGTTTTTGGGGTCGCTGAATTCAAATCTGGGGTGACTTTTGTCCCACCCCCGCGGGGTCAAGGGCAAATGAAGGTCAAATTTGCAAAAATGGAGAAAATCAATTTTCTCCAGTCTATATATACGTTTTTGGGGTCGCTGAATTCAAATCTGGGGTTACTTTTGTCACACCACCTTGGTAGTGTAGTATTCATCAAAAACAAACAGAAAGTCATGCCATCTAATTTTTTCTGCTATACCTTACGCGATTCTCATCGAATGAACGGTGCAAAGGTTTTCTTTTACGTTTTTTTGCCGTTTTACAATCTCTTTTCAACATCCAACAGTAGTCAGCCAACATGCATGTATCCCATCTTCCTTGATAACGCTTTTCCATCACTTTCACATCTTGATGGAAACGTTCACCTTGTTCTTCACTATAATCACCACAGTTTTCAGGGAAACTATCCAAATGATTGTGTAGAAAATGTAATTTGTAATTCATGAGACAACCCATCACCCTAAAGCTCTCCACCATTTGAGATACAATTTCTTTGTAATTGGGGCTTCTACGATTACCCAAAAAGTTTGCGGTAACGTCCTTGAAGCTAAGCCATGCAGTTTGTTCGATGCTGGTCATGGAACTAATAAACTTATCATCAGCCATCATTTTTCTAATCTCTGGACCATCAAAGATACCTTCTTTTAATTTCGCATCCGATTTACTTGGAAATTTGCTTTCCAAGTACTTGAAGCTCTGAGCATCTTTATCTAAAGCCTTGACGAATTGTTTCATGATACCAAGTTATATGTGCAATGGTGGAATGAGAACTTTTTTAGGGTCAACCAATGGGGTAGCTTTAACGTTGTGTTCTCCAACAGTTAGAGATTTTCTCTCAGGCCATTTATGATCAGTATAGTGCTTTGCTCGATCTCGACTATCCCATAAGCACAAGAAACATGGCGTCTTCGTAAAACCAGACTGCTGTCCTAACAATATTCCTGAAACTTTCAAATCACCACAAATACGCCATTGATACTTGTCATATTTAATTTTTTGCAGTATAATTTTGAGATTACCGTATGTTTCCTTCATTGTGGTGGAGTGCGCTATAGGAACTGAGGCATAATAGTTGCTATTGTGCAGTAATACAGCTTTCAAACTTCTGTTTGATGAATCTATGAACAATCTCCATTCTTCGTCTTTATACACATTAGGTTTAATTTCATTCATTAAACCTTTTACGTCTTTACAATATACTATTTTATTACCATCACGATTCATATCTTCAAAGTATGGTTCGAAACTTTTGCTTCTTTTTCTGTAAAAAGATACTCTAGTAGAACTTGCCAACTGATTCATATCTTTCAAACTAGGCTCTCTAACAAGGTCGTTCAGTTTACCTTGAGTTCATAACTTTATGTTATTTTTTTTTGACCCGCCGGAAGGAAAACATTGTCATCGTCATCATCGTCTTCTTTAGTTTCTCCATCGTTATCACTTTCGTAGAATTCAACCTTGAATCATCATTCGAGTCATCACTTCTATCCTCATCATTGCCGCCACTTACTTCGGCGTTATGTTCTCAACAATTTCAGATACTTCATAATTTGGGCTTTTGCTACCCCCCAAAAAGTTAAAAATCATATTTATTTCTTTCATATTTGTGAAATCGTACGTTCAACAATCCTAAATGCATTAGAGTTTTCTGTATCATGAGTAGAAAACTTTTTAGAAAACCAGCATGTATTTGCTAATTGTATAAATGTATGGTGACATGAATGAGAAGAATTCAAATATGAATTTTTCCTTCAAAGTTGCCTTAACCTGCTGCCTCGACAAAAACTGTGACGGTGACACTGCCCTAAATAGGGATGTGTGGGATGATCCGCTCATTAGTTTGTCGAGGTAACGATGCCAGTGGAAGCGCACTGCCTTGCAGGGGGCGTTAGGGTGTGAGGATGAAGCTGTAGTGTGTCTGACGACGAGTTGACACTGTCCTCGTCAAAGTCGGAAAGCTCTTATACTTAGCCCCGGAGAGGTATAAGAGTTATCACCTCCGGGACAGCGGACTCACCTGCGATCGGACCAGGATCCCTAACGTGCGGGGTTATACTGTCAATCATGGAACATTTACCTTCTACTTCTCGTCATAATTGCAAAAAAAATCGTAATCTTTTTTGTTTCGTCTGTGGAGTATATACTCCTAAAAAATTTCGTCGTGATTTTAATGAACGCCTCAGAAAAATTCACAAATCATGTTTTCAATTAGAGACGGATGATATTATAAAAGAGTGGACTCCAGGTAGCATCTGCGAACGATGTCGTAAAATGCTTTGTAAATGGGAAAAGACAAAAAAACGTGATGATGTCATATTTATTAGCCCAATGGAATGGTATCAACCAGATGGAAGCGAAGATTGCTACTTCTGCAATACTGAAGTTTCAGGATTGAATAGTAAATCAAAAACAAAAGTGAATTACGCTAAAGTCACTTCTGTAAAAAAAGCTGTTGAAAAATCGATTACCAATGAAGAGCTTTATGTGCTTGAGAAGTTATCCATTGAATCGGATACGAATGATGGAAATTATAATGACGAAGATTGTGACGACATAAGTGATGACAATAATGGCAATGCTACCAATGATGTAGGTGATGATTTGGAAGATGAATCCTATGACAGTGATATTGATGGAAAAACTGATGATGATGATGAAGATGATGATATTTTCCTTCCAGCGGGCCAGAAAGACAAAAGCGTAAAGTTATGGTCTCAAGATAAACTGAACGACCTAGTTAGAGAGCTTAACTTACCTAAAGATGGAGCAGAACATTTAGCTTCAGCTTTGAAAGGCATGAATCAGTTGGCAAGTTCTACTAGAGTATCTTTTTACAGAAAAAGAAGCAAAAGTTTCGAACCATACTTTGAAGATATGAATCGTGATGGTGATAAAATAGTATATTGTAAAGACGTAAAAGGTTTAATGAATGAAATTAAACCTAATGTGTATAAAGACGAAGAATGGAGATTGTTCATAGATTCATCAAACAGAAGTTTGAAAGCTGTATTACTGCACAATAGCAACTATTATGCCTCAGTTCCTATAGCGCACTCCACCACAATGAAGGAAACATACGGTAATCTCAAAATTATACTGCAAAAAATTAAATATGACAAGTATCAATGGCGTATTTGTGGTGATTTGAAAGTTTCAGGAATATTGTTAGGACAGCAGTCTGGTTTTACGAAGACGCCATGTTTCTTGTGCTTATGGGATAGTCGAGATCGAGCAAAGCACTATACTGATCATAAATGGCCTGAGAGAAAATCTCTAACTGTTGGAGAACACAACGTTAAAGCTACCCCATTGGTTGACCCTAAAAAAGTTCTCATTCCACCATTGCACATATAACTTGGTATCATGAAACAATTCGTCAAGGCTTTAGATAAAGATGCTCAGAGCTTCAAGTACTTGGAAAGCAAATTTCCAAGTAAATCGGATGCGAAATTAAAAGAAGGTATCTTTGATGGTCCAGAGATTAGAAAAATGATGGCTGATGATAAGTTTATTAGTTCCATGACCAGCATCGAACAAACTGCATGGCTTAGCTTCAAGGACGTTACCGCAAACTTTTTGGGTAATCGTAGAAGCCCCAATTACAAAGAAATTGTATCTCAAATGGTGGAGAGCTTTAGGGTGATGGGTTGTCTCATGAATTACAAATTACATTTTCTACACAATCATTTGGATAGTTTCCCTGAAAACTGTGGTGATTATAGTGAAGAACAAGGTGAACGTTTCCATCAAGATGTGAAAGTGATGGAAAAGCGTTATCAAGGAAGATGGGATACATGCATGTTGGCTGACTACTGTTGGATGTTGAAAAGAGATTGTAAAACGGCAAAAAAACGTAAAAGAAAACCTTTGCACCGTTCATTCGATGAGAAATGCGTATGGTATAGCAGAAAAAATTAGATGGCATGACTTTCTGTTTGTTTTTGATGAATACTACAATACCAAGGTGGTGTGACAAAAGTAACCCCAGATTTGAATTCAGCGACCCCAAAAACGTATATATAGACTGGAGAAAATTGATTTTCTCCATTTCTGCAAATTTGACCTCCATTTGCCCTTGACCTCGCGGGGGTGGGACAAAAGTCACCCCGGATTCGGACTCAGCGACCCCAAAAACATAAAGTCTGCATGGTCTGGTCTGTGGGTTTTGCCACTTTTTTTTGTGTGGCTGTGTTATTATTAATGGAGTTGTCCTCGAATTTATATAGTTATATAAATGTGTATATTGTTAAAATATTTGTCCAAGAAATATATTCCTTTTATTTTAGCTGGTCCTTATAATAACTGTTGTCCTTGTAATAAGTAATTGTGCTGGAATTCGTCTGATCGTACGCTGTATACGTATATATATATATATATATATTAAGTATATTATAATATAATATATATTATAATATATATATAATAATAATAATATTATTATATATATATATATATATAATAATACGTTAATGAACGCTGTTACTTTCGTCGCGCGTATACGTTAATCGCTGATAGGAAGGATATAAATATACTGATTTTAGGAATTTAACGATAAATAAAAAAACTGATTGACTAGAAACTGAGATCAAAACTGTATGAAAAGAACTGAATAAAAACTGTACGTAAATCTGAAGAGAATTAAGCTGTGTACAACTGGTCGTGATTAACTCTGGCTTTGTTAGGCGTGGGCGATACAGTAATGCAGCGCGAGAATGTTACTACGCCGTCACTGCATTACTATGCGGCCGCCGAACAGCCCACGCGCACTTAATGTGTATGATTAATACGCGCGGCGCAATTATACATAATACTAATACATATAAATTTTACATTACATTAATACATATATCAGGATGAAGTGAATTTAAAAGTTGTCACTTAACATCCTCCCCCCTTAGAATGATTACCGTCCTCGGGAATCATATGTCCAGTGAGAATGAATAAACATGAATGATTAAGGAAGGTGAAAACGGGTAATATATATGTACTATTAAAATGGTTACTATACATATTATATTTTTTTTTATAAAGATAAGAAAAAAAAGAGTTCTAAGGATTGAAAATTAAAGTTATAGGTTGGTAGCGTTATGGGCATTGCTGCCAACTCGTCCAAAATGTTTTCCAGCATGGTGGTGAATATCAGGTTTTGGTCCACAGATTCTTCGGACTGCTCTGGTTCCACCTAGTCCTCATATTAACACTGACGTAGATGGAGGTAAAAGCTTCGTTTTTCGAAGGATTTGTCACATAGCCAATGTTTCATCCAATCCTTACCTATTTGCATGTTACATAGGTTTTTATGGACTTCGAAATCCTTCTTCATGACAATGCTTTCGCATTGTGCATGAAGAATGTACTGGTTCTTGTTATGCAGGGACAGGGGGACAATCCTTTCTAGTTCGTTCAACTTGGCTCCATATACCCTATGGTATAGTCGGACAGCCTCAGCAGCAGAACCCTTGGACACAAATCGCACACTGCAGGTCAAATGGAAATGTGAACCATATGTCGTGATAGGCGTAAAATACATATATTCCAGAGTCCCACAGGTTGCCAAGTCCTTAAATACTTGTTCCCGCGAACAGTACATCGGGATTCGGAGGAATACCCGATGTCCGAATTCGTGTTCTCTGATCACAACTCTGGGAGAGTTGGGATTTAAGGACTGGATACTATCATTCAGGTAGTTGTTTAAGGCCGAATGATAGTCCGCGTGGGCGCAGTAGCGTATACGGAGGGACATGTGTCCATCCAGTCGAGACCCAAATTGATGCAGTTGTTCTATAGGTCCATAAGTTAGGATGTTTTGGACTACATCAGATTCCGCGGTAGTCCAAGGGAAAGTAACCACCAAGGTGTTTTCTTCTTGGTGATAGGGTGCTACTGTGACCCCTTTCGTTAAGGCGTTCATCCTATTGGGCGTTGACATGACTATGTCCTGTAAGATTATGTCCATGTAGAAGAAAATAATAGTAGGATAAAGATATAGAAGAGAGAGACATTAGTAAAAGTTTTAAATAGAGTATATGAATGAATGGAGTTATGTGTGATAAAGACAGTCCGTGAAGTCCGATTATATAGTTATTGTCCTTCTACCCGCTTTACATACTAAAATTTAAGGTGAAATAATACAGATTTCGATAAATAAAAATGTACGTAACATCACGAAACTATATAAAAATTGTATATATAAAATTGTTTATGAAAGAGAGGAGTTCAAAAAAAAATATTTTCTTATGACGCAGCTGTATCTTCTAAGTATTTCTGATCTTCTGAGTTGACCTCAGTCTCGATTTCTCCATCAGTCACTTCCAAATCTTGTTCGGTGGCCGTTCCTTCTGGACAGTTAGATTCTGAATTTGGTTTTTTCATGTATATTTCAGCAACGTCCTTTCCATGTCCTGTTTGTGATTCGGTCGATGCATCAGGGGAGCTGGCGGCACCGGTGTTTGTTATTTGTACCATTATATTTGACATGTATCTAGGCCTTTCTGACAGTCGTTCAAGTGAGTTCGATGTACGTTGTTTCTTGTTAACTTTACGTTGTCTGTCGTTAGATGCAGAATTATTTTTGTTTAACCACAATGTCCTCTGGTATTGCCACTTACAAGTATAGAAGTGTTCATCTTCTAGTTTTGCATCGACATAATCGTCACATATCCAGCATAATACGGTTCCTTCGCCTCTTGTTCACGGTCTTTAGCATATTGTGCACCATACTCAGGGTTACTGTATTGTAAAGCTCTAGTTGCATCTTTCTCATCATAGTATTGTACATACCCCAATGAAAGTCGTCCTCTATTGTCTCTATGATATAATAGTCGTCCAAATTCGACAAAATGTTCAAAGAATTCGACCTCCCTATTTTGTTCCGGAACTGCCCAAGGTAGTCTACACAATAATCTTTTCTTATTAATGGGTGTCTTTGGTTTTATTATCACACTCTTGTATATTCGAGATCTCAAGTCGGCTGAATATACGGCTTCTTTTCGGGAAGTTCCAGTAATACATTGCGCCAGCTTTCTAGCCTTTTCAGCCTGTCTGGTGTTTTGATATCGGCATAGAGCCAATTTTGTATCCGGTCCTGATATACTTTCTATGGAATGGAATTCTATAATTGTCCCTACAGATTCTAGTTTTACGAGTAAGTCACTCAACTTTATATCAGCCGAGTACAAGAATCTAATGCCTCTTGGATCTTCAATACTCGAAGCAGGCTGATTGTTCATTATGTCCAAGAAGAATACTAGGGCTGAAAAAGAAAATACACATCCGTCCTTCATGTTTCTTTACATGAGATAAAGTCCGGTACTAATGGTCCCAGTTGTGTTAATTAGTAGTTTAGATTGTTACAGGACTCTGTTTCGTGTTGAGCGACGCTAATTACTTCCGGAGTATTAGTGAAGGTAATTATAGTAGCAGGGTTCTGTTTCATGTCCAATTCATTATTTTTCTTAGTATTGTTAGTACATGTTCCCCATTTTTTTGTTTTGCAACATTTATAAGCTAGCAAGAGCGTAGCAGCCAGGAATATAATTCCATTCACTCCCAACCCTCCGTAGATTAGATTCGAATGATAGGACGTTACACGTTTATGCTCGCCCACTATTTCCATTTTGTCCATTATTTCGGTTAATGTTCTTTCTTTATTTTTCCAGCCAACCAATTGAGGTGCCCATTTTATTGTTTCTTGTCGTTTAGATGATGTTATTTGGAGGTTATTAGAGGATTCGTTTAGTATAGGGTAAAGGAAAGTTACATTGAGGGTAAGGTCCGGTTTGTAGATATATTGCTCTGTAGCATTTCTATCTATTTCGGTCATTAACGTTGCATCAGTTGTGTGTCCTATACACCCTGGTGCTAATTTAATAATACCAATGCCCTCCAGACGGACAGGTTCATCTTTATGACCCGGGCAACTGATACGTAAGTTTTCGGGTTTTACCGCTGAAAACAACCAAGATCCGTCAGATTCTATGTAATTCCACTGCGTTGTTTGTTGTGTCCTAATTACCAAGTCGCAATTATAGATTTCCTTTTGCGACGGTTGTAATAGCATTCGGACTTCACAATCCTGGTTGAGGTTAATGTCCAGTAGCGGTGCCTTGGTCGGGCAAATGAATGCATGATGTGTACTTATACATTCTTTTAGAGTGGCATAATCCAAACGCATATATTGTTTTAGATCATTGTTCAGGGCTAGATATGGATATCTGTATCTTATGTAGGCTGAATTTCCGGTAGATGCGGATGGTTGAGGAACTAATATGGAATGCAACCTGTAAAGGTTATATAAATTTCTGTCCACTAAGGGCAGATGCAAAACTATGAATGTCCGTCCTGATTTGTGAATTGCATCTACCTTAGAAATTTTTACAATCTCTTCTATTCTTAAATATTCTGAAGGTATCGGAAAATCCAAGTCGTGATATGCGTGTTTGATATCAGAGGTTATTTGGTGTAATACGTCGGTGGTAAGCAGGTCTGGTTGTATCCTACCCTCTCTGACATTATGCAATATGTCCAATAGTCTTCTGGATTCATCAATACAATGATCTAAACGTGCTTCTAGTGCTCTTCCGTAAGAATATAAGAGCATAATGTAGTCCCATTGTTTCCGGTCGTCCTCCATTTTATTTAGTACATCCGCAACTTGCGATTCTAGGTGTGTTATAATTTCGCTATGTTTGTCCATCATAGTATATAATTTGTCCATGCCAGTCAATATTACATGAGTTTTCTTTTCTACTAGGTTTGCCATAGTTTTCTGATCTGCAAATAGCCGATCTATATTTTTATTTATCTCATTAGTTTCGTCCTCTATCACTAGTCCAAATAAGCTATGGCTAAGCGTACCAATGCCTCCAAAAGGCGTTAGACGTTTAGTTCTTATATTACGTGGGCTCCTTTTTTTGGGCGGAGCAATACTGTCCATTGTTTTAGAAGCATAAATGACGTCCTTGTGCAAACTATTTAAAGTTTTCATTTTTAGGTCCAGTCCCTGTTCTTCCAAAGTCTTGGCACAGGTCGCCATGTGTAGGTGAATAACACATTTGTCATAAAATGAGCAGAAATCTACCGATTGTCGCGACTGTGTTATTAAATAAGCGATATCGAGAGCTATATAAACTTTCCAATCAGCTCTTTTCATTTTAACCTGACTCAATTGTTCATAATACAGTCCAGGATTATTGTCAAATTTTTCCATTGTATATGTTTCCTGTCCTTTTGTCCATAAGAAAGGTAGAAATAGCAACGACAGTAGATAGAATTGAATACACATATTGATTAATGTGAAAGAAGAGAAAAAAAAAATAGTAGGATAGTCCTGAAAATAGATGTAATCACATGTAAAGAACAAAAAACAAAAATACAGATTCGTCATAGAAGGAGAAAAGTAAAAAAATAAATAAATAAATAAATAGGAACAAAAAGAAGAGAAGAAAAGAATTTCAACATGTATAATAGTGCAACTAATAGTGATTAATAAATAAGTAATAAAAATTAAAACAAAATATATATACGAGTATACTATAGTTTTAACTTAAGCTTGTCTACATGCTTTCTAATTCTTTTACCATTTGGCAACTCCAAAATAACATTTTTGTGTCCTAGTATTTTAATAATTTTAAGGGGGTTCTTGTAGTAACTATCTGCCTTGCCTACGCGGGGCTCATTTAAGACCCAGGCATAATCGCCTTTCTTACCCTTAAACATGTTTACTTTACTATCGTATCGTTTTTTAGATCGTACTTTCGCAATTATTTAGTT